CTGGCAAAAAACATGCTGAACTCGTAAGAGTTAAATTCCCCTAGATTGAAATTTAAATTTTTTTTATGATTTATTCTTTATAATTTATTTCCATTCTTGGATTTTGCCTACGGCTTACGACTCATACAAATCACGTTCAAATTTAGCACGAATGCACGTTAAGGTCACAAAAATTTAAAAAAAATTCTAATCCATACCAATAACTATATCGTAAGCAATTAAAAAGACTAATTACTTGAGCTGTTTTTTGACAGAATATTAGTCGATGGTCTAACAAAGCAACAATATTGGTTGGTATGGTCATAGATTGACAAAAAAATGTTTTGGAATTAATTCTACACTACAATCGAAGAGGGGAATCGAAGGAAATCGTCCGATTATTCAGTTAAATTGGTTCAGCTATTCGTCACCTGAAAAATACACATCGATCAAAAAGATCAAACCAATTTCTTATTTTGTGAAAAAAATATATGCAACATTACCATTGTTAGTAACCAATTGAATCTATTCCAATTGCTCTGCAATATTAATTTTGTTTCCTTTACCGATAAAAAGTTTGGCGACCTCATTATGACCTAAAAATAATACAGATCAATGAAAAAGATCAAATCGATATCTTATTTAGTCAGCTTTACCATTGTTAATAGCTACTTGGAGAGGAGTCTGATTCAAATTATTTTTAACATTAACATTTGCTCCTTTACGGATGAGAAGTTCAGCGACACTCCTTTGACCTAAAAAGTAATTTGGATGGATGAAAAAGATCAAATCAATCTTGTTTTAGTAAAGACAAGTATTCAACTATTACCATGCTGAGCAGCTAAATGAAGAGGTGTGTCTTTCGCAGTATTTACGCTATTAACATTGGCTCCTTTACTAATGAGAAATTCGGCAACATTCTTGTGACCTGAAAAATAACACACATCGATGAAAAAAATAAAACTGTTTTCCTATTTAGTGAGAACAAATAATCAACATTACCATTCAAAGCAGCTAAATGAAGGGGCGTATTATTAAGATGATTTTTCATTTCATAATTAGCTCCTTTACTGAGTAGAAGTTTAGCGACATTCTTATGACCTAAAAATAATTTTGATCGATGAATAAGATCAAATCAATCTCTTATTTAGTGAAACCCATAAAATCTCGTAGAAAGCATTTTTTAGGTGTAGAAACGTTTATGGACACCATTCCGGAGCACAGCAATCGTGTAATGTGTAAGCTATGTGTACACGATTTATGGTGTGGCCGAAAAACCCGATATGCAATTGAATTCCACCATATCGTGTGAACGCTTACCGTACGTCTAAGTACTGAGTGTATGTGTGAGTACAGCCAGCACTCACACGATATGGTGTGATTCAATTGCACATCGGTTTTTTTCGGCCTACCATAAATCATGTACACATAGCTTACACATTACATGATTGCTGTGCTCGGGAATGGTGTCACGGGATCTTATGAGAAGTATTCAAAATTACCATTGAGAGCAGCTGAATGAAGAGGTGTCGCATGGC